TTGATTGAGCAAATTAACACATTTCCTGGTAACTGCTGTTACAGCTATTGATCTGGCAAATGCTTTGTTCCTGATACCTGTTAGTAAAAACTACCAGAAGCCATTTGCTTTCAGCCGGCAAGTCTGGCAATCCACCTTCACTGTTCTACCTCAGAGGTATACCAGCTCTACAGCACTATGCCATAGTTGAGTCCACAGGGACCCTGATTGCCTTTCCCTTCCATAAGATATCACATTAGTCCATTACATTGATGACATTATTCCAACAGGACTTAATAAGAAATCTCAACCACTCTAGACGGTAAGAAATTTGTAGATCAGAGAGTGGGAAATAAATTTTTAAAAAATTTAGGGATCTTCCACCTCAGTGAAATTTGTAGGACCCCAGTGGCATGAGTCATGTCAAGATAACTCTTCTGAGGTAAAGGATAAGTTGTTTCATCTGGCCCCTTTTACAACCAAGAAAGAAACAATGCCTAGTGGGCCTGTTTGGATGTTGGAAGAAACATATTTCTCATTTGTGTGTATTCTTCAGCCCATTGACCAAGGGATCCAAAAAGCTGCTTGTTTTGAATGGGCCCCAGAGCAAAAGAAGGCTTTATAACAGGTCCACACTGCTGTGTAAGCTGCTTCGCCACTTGGACCATATAATTCTGCAAATCCAATGGTATCTGAAGTGTTGGTGGCAGATGGGGATGCTGTTTGGTGCCAATAATATCCCCCTACAGGTGAATTACAGCACAGGACCTTAGAATTTTAGAGCAAAACTCTGCCATCCTCTTCAGATAATTACTATCCTTTTGAGAAATAGCTCTTGGCCTACTAACGGGCCTTAATAGAAACTGAACCCTTCCTTAACCATGGGTCACTAAGTTACCATTTGATCTGAGCTGCCCATCTGAACTGGTTATTATATGACCCACCAAGCCTAAAGTTGGTTGTGTACAGCCTGACTTCATCATAAAATGTCAGTGGGAAATACAGTGATTGGGCCAAAGTAAGGCCTGTAGTCACAAGTAAGTTATATGAAAAAGAGACTCAAATGCCCTCAGTTTCCATTCTTGCTACATTGCCTTCTCTCTCCCAGCCTGCATCTATGGCCTCATGAGAAGTTTCCTATAATCAGTTGATCGATTATAATATTACAATCAGATTATAATCAGAGGAAAAGAAGACTAAGGCCAAGTTTACAGCTGGTTCTGTACAGTATATTCCTTATCATGCCGAATAAGCTGGGTTAATATAGTGACGTTTTGAAGATTCAATTACAGTTCCAGCTAAGTGGCAATACTTTACGGTGCTGAGGCAATGTTCTCCAGAAGGCTGTATATGCTCTGAATCAGCATCCAATCTATAGTGCTGCCATACCCACAGCAAGAATTTACAGGTTTAGTAATCAAGGTGTGAAAATGAGAGTAGCACCACTCACTATTATCTCTAATGATTTACTAGTAAAATATTTGCTTCCTAGTCCCACAACCTTACATTGCTACTCCAGAGGTCTTAGCTCCAACAGGAAGAATGTGTCCACCAGGAGACATAACAATGATTCCATTGAATTGGAAGTTAAGACAGCCATCTGGCCACTTTGGACCCCTCATGACCCTGAAAAAACAGGCCAAAGAAGGAAGTTACTGTGCTGGCTGGGGTGATTGATCCTGACTATCAAGAACAAATTAGGTTGCTATTCTACAGTGGAGATAAGAAAGAGTATATCTGAAATATAGGAGATCCCTTAGGACTTTTCCTAGTATTACTATGCCCTGTTATTAAGGTCAGTGAAAAACCCAATCCAGGCAGGACTACTAAGGCCAGACCCTTCAGTAGTACAGGTTTGGGTCATTTCAAAGAACCACAATTAGCTGAGTGCTTGCTGAAGGCAAAGGGAATACAGAATGGGTAGTGGATGAAGGTCTAAGTACCAGCTACAACCATGTGACCAATAACAGAAATGAGGACTGTAACTGTCACAATACTTCCTCCTCATTTTGTTATTAGTGTGTTTGTGTGTACAACTATATATATATATATATATATAAGCATATTTATTAATATACACTAAGCGATTATCTTTTTCCTTCCCTCTCTTATTCATGTATCATGTAACATAAAATATATTAACTTTATATCATAGTATTTAAGTATTATTAATTTTACATCATAGTATTTAGTCTATGAGATAACAAGGAGAAAAGTAAACATCACTCAAAGACTTTACCTGGGGAAAGGATTAGTGCATTGCCAATTGTACGCAAGATAGTTTTATCATGTTAGGTGGAATTATTACTTTGTTATTGTCTTTATTTGGTTATTAAGTATGCTTTAAGGTGATGCATATGGTTACCAAACTGACAAAGGATGAACTTGGGATGGTTAATTTTATGTGTTAACTTGACTGGGTCACAGGTGGCCCAGATATTTCATTAAACATTATTTTGGGTATGTTCATAAGCAATTTTCTGGGTGAGATTAGCATTTGAATCAGTAAATTGAGTAAAGCAGATTGACCTTCCCAACGTGTGTGGGCCTCATCGAAACTTTTAAAGGTTTGAATAGAACAATAAGTTGGTGTGAGGGAGACTTCGCTGTCTGTGCCTATCATTGAGCTGAGACATCAAACTTCTCCTGCCTTAGAAGTTGGACTCAGACTGGCACTTAGGCCATCAGCTCTCCTGATTCTCAGACCTTCAGACTTGGACTGGAACTATGCCATCTCTTCTCCTGGGTATCCAGGTTGCTGACTATAGATCTTGGACTTCTCAGCCTCCACAGAATTTCTTATAATCTATATTTAAGAACTCGACAGGTTCTGTTTCTCTGGAGAATCCAAAGGAATCCAGTAAGAAATACAATAAATAAATGAATTATGACAGTCCATGTAGCTAAAATGTAACACAGGAATTAAGATATGGTAAGTGTCAGAGTCCATTTTCTGTTGCTTATAACAGAATATTTGAAACTGAGTAATTTATAAAGAAAAGGAATTTGTTTCTGACAGCTATGGAAGCCAGGAAATCCAAGGTCAAGGAGCTACATCTAGTGAGAACCTTCCTGCTGGTAGGGACTCTCTGAAGAGTCCCAAGGCTGTGCAAGGAATCAAATAGCAAGGGAACTGAACATGTTAGCTCATGTCTCTCTTCTTTTTTTTTTTTAATAAAGCCACCAGTCTCATTCCTGTGATAGCTCATTAATCTATTAACCCATTAATCCATTAATTAATCCATTCATGAGGGCAGAGCCCTCATGACCCAATTACCTCTTAAAAGTCCCTTGTCAGTACTGCCACATTGGGGATTAATTTTCCACCTGAATTTTGGAAAGGACAAATATTCAGCCTAAAACAGTAGCTAAATAATAATAGCAACAACAATAATAACAAGAATTAAATGTACTATTCTCTAATTATGCACAAGATACTCTATCAAACACTTTAAATGGACCATTTCATTTACTCCTCATAACACTATGTAATAGGTAGTACTTTTGCAGAGAAGGTCACTGAAGTTCAGAGAGATTAAGTAACTTACTAGGGTCACATTATTATAAACTCAAAAAAAATTTCCCAAATAGAAATACCTTTGTCCGTTATTTCTGTTATTTCAAACCAATCAACTAATCAGTTGAGCAACAAGAATATACTGAACTTGCTGTTATCTACCCCAGGTGATTTCCTCTAAGGAAACGAAGCCACAGACAAAGAGCACAAATATCTTTCTGGCTTCAAGAAACATTAGATCAAAAACTCAAAAACATGATGCTTTTGGACAACCCTTCCATTTTTAACTTCTGTAACTAGTTATTTGCAAAAGAAAAAATAAACTAGAAGAGCTGAATAATTACCAATTATAAACAACTATAAATAATGAAAAATCAAGTTTAAATGAAGCATTTTAAACATGTAGTCTATTTTTTAAATGTGGAGCTCATGTTATTAGTAACATGAGGATTATGTTTTACTCCAAAGACTAATAAGTCTGTCCCTGGTAGACTTAATTAAAAATACAAAAACAAAAACAGAACCTCTTTTTCTCCCTTTACATAGCTACCTAGGTCAGAGGTTGGGAAACTGTTTTTGTAAAAGTCCAGATAGTTAATATTTTAGGGTTTTGTGCCATGGAGTCTCTGTTGCAACTGCTCGGCTCTGCTGTTATAGCTTGAAATCTACCATAGAAAGTAAGTAAATGAATGAGTGTAGCTGTGTTATAGTAAAACTGCCTTTGTAAAAATAAGTGGTAGATTAAATTTGGCCTGTGGGTTATAATTTACCCAATCCCTAATTTAGTCTAAGGTATCTCATTCCAAGATTAGAAAACATAAGCAGAGAAGGACACAGTCTTTACTCATTCTGATGTAAATTACTTATTAATGAAGTCCAACCTGGTGAATACAAACACTTATAGTGAACAGTAAGTTGAGAAAGAGTAGAGGGAGTGGTAATTACAAAATTGTGCCTCAACTAAAGAATATCATATATAACAACTACAATACAGCCTAAGAAAATAATAAGTAAAGTTATCCTTTAAGACAGGAATCCATCACTTTACTCAACATCATCTTTTATCAGCAGACTCTTAAACATTATTGGTTCTTCCATATACGTTCCACTTATCTACAGATATCAATCTGCTCTAGAGCAAAGCAGACTTGTTACTTGTTACTTTCCCCACCATTAGGGCAACTTGTGTGCTGATACATATAATGCCAATCAGATAATGATATCTGCAAATTAATTTTTAGTTTATTTTTAATTATTCACCCAATTCCTAACCAAACTCATTCAAAAGAAAATGTCCATAGCCAAAATGTTTAGGTTCATTGGTCCAAGTTGAGTTTCAAATCAAAACAAATGGTCCTGGGGGATCTGTAGTGAAAATCTATGAGATTGTCTTCCCAGAACCAATTTCTGAGAATCAACTTTCACCCACCTATGTGGTTCCCATGGTACTCAAAATCCCACCCCCCCCCCACTCCCACACTCCCTACCCCCCCACCCCCCACGATTAAGTGGTTCTGTATTCATTTGCTAGGGTTACTGCAACAAAGTATCACAAACTGAATGGTTTAAACAGAAATTTGTGTCTCAATTTCTAGCCGCTAAAAGTTCGAGATAAAGGTGTCGGCAACCTTAGCTCCTTCTGAGGGCTTTGAAGGAGAATCTGCTCCATGCCCCTCTCCTAGTTTTTAGTGGTTTGCTGACAACTTTGGCACTCTGCCTTGCAAATGTATCACCTCATCTCTGCCTTCATGTTCACTTGGTGTTCTCCTCGTATACCTGCCTATATCTGTGTCAAAATTGTCCTTCTTTTATAAAAAATAGTCTTATTGGATTAGGGATCACTCTAATGAACGATCTGAACTTGATAATCTACAAAGACCCAATTTTTAAAAATATTTTATGTTCTGGGATATATGTGCAGATTGTACAGGTTTGTTACATATGCAAACTTGTGCCATGATGATCTGCTGCACCTATCAACCCATCGCCTAGGTTTAAAGCCCCAAATGCATTAGCTATTTATCCTGATGCTCTCCCTCTCCCCACCCCACCAGCCCCAGTGTGTGTTGTTCCCCTCCCTGTGTTCATGTGTTCTCATTGCACAGCTCAAAGACCCAATTTCTAAGAAAAACCACATTCACGGGTACTTGGGGTTAGAATATTAGCATTTTTTAGGGAGACATAATTCAACCTGTAACAGGTCTAAGGTGTCACAAGCTGGATAATAGGAGTCCTTTCTAAGGATTTTTAGAAATAGAACTGAGAGAGTCTAGATTGCTAAAGTGGTCATATGTAAAATTCAAGTGCTGTTGGCGAATATGTTTTCTAACACACAAAAGTATCAGCAGCAATGTATTAATGATGACATAATTTGAGTTCCTGGTTCCAAATATGTCTGTGGTCCAGCCTCAAACCCACCTGCCCTTTCAAAGGTTTCCTTTCATTTCATAGGACTCCATAACTTTGTGTCTGTAGGGGTTTTTTTTGGGAGGGGAGGTTTGTTTGTTTTTAAAGACAGGGTCTCACTCTGTCACCCAGGCTGTAATGCAGGGGCATGATCACAGCTCACTGCAGCCTCAACCTCCCTGAGCTCAGGTGATCCTTACACTGCAGCCTCCCAAGTAGTTGGGACTACAGGTCCATGTCACCGTGCCTGGCTAATTTTTGTTTTTTTTTTTTTTTTTTTTTTTTGGTCAAGATGGGGTTTCGCCATGTTGCTCAGGCTGGTATGGAACACCTGGGCTTAAGCAATCCACCTGCCTCAGTCTCCCAAAGTGCTGGGATTACAGTCATGAGCCACGGCACCTGGCCAGGACTCTGTAACTTCTTCTAAACAAGAGGACTAACATTTGTAACATCTCTTACAATTAATCTTCAAAAATATGCTCTCCACTGTATTCACCTAACAGATTCCATAGAAACACTGGATTTCAAGGAATGTTTCATATTGCTAAAAATTATTACAGAAATGTATTCCACCAGATCTAGAGCTATGAGACCCAAGATGATTCTGAATATATAAATATTCAAATCAACAGAAATAAAAAGTCATCAAGAGACATTAGGAATGTTAAGAATAAAGAAAACAATGTCAATAAGAATTCTGGTGATTAAATAAAGACCATGATAATTTTGGAGTCTAATAACACAAACTTACTTTATTGGCATTATGGAGTCAGTTAGTTTCTCTTTTTTAATTGTTCTCTGCTGAATATAACTGGTCTTCCCATAAATTTGCTAGATATTTCTTAATATATTTGGCAAATATTTATGTCTGGACATACCTGAAGAACTTGTAGGACAGGAATTCTAGGCTGTTATTTATTTGAGAGGTGATATGTCTACAGGAAAAGAATTCATCCTGAGGGCAGAGAAAATCAAAAGCCAATCAGATAATAGTGGCCACTAATAATTCTCCAGCTAAGCCCCATGGAGTCCTGTTTACTGTGATGAGTAAAATCTGAAAAGAAGAGGCAACTTTACCCACCAAAATCTCAGTGGGTCATTGAGAGTGCTGGACAACTTCATTATCACTGTAGGTAACTTTAGCAATAGCAGGATGATGCAGCTGTCACTTATCCACATTGACCAACAGGACATACAGCAACCTAAAGAGGATGATGCTAGTGACTTTAACACCAGTGACTTTGTGAGTAGGGGTGACATAATTGCCACTTTTGATGTCATCACCACAATGGCTTAAAAAGGAAGAAAATGAAGTAACCCACATAGAAGTCAAAAGGACTAGCTCCCAATCTTTGTGAGACCACATTCTAGGGACGTCCATAACTATTTGAGAGGAGTATAGGAAGACTGTTCTTCTTAAGAAGAAGACACAAGAGAAAAAAAAAAGAGAATTCCTATTTTCGGTCATTGTAATATTACTTTGGTCCCTGGGTTGGTTTAGACCAAGAAACAAGGGTTGATGAAAAAAAAATTCTAAGAAACAAAATAAATGTCTTGTATATTTTCAACTATTCTGTAGCATTTGTGTTCCTACCAATTGCTTATACATTTTGACTACACAATAGCACTATCTTAGCATTTTATTATTTTAAAATATCACAATAATGTTTCTCAAAGTTTCATCTGAAAAGTGCCACCTGGACCTCAGAAAATCTTCAATGGCAGTTTTTGACTTTTTCTTGTTTTTTAATTTCAAAAACTACAAGAAAATGCTTTTTTAAATTATAATTAAAAATTTGAGTCATAAAACCAGTCTTTCCACTCAAAATGAGCTCATTTTTAGTCATCCATAAAATATCATATAACGATAACTATTTTTAATTCCCCTTAAAACTGCATTTACATTAGTAAATGATTTTTTTTTTACTTACAGCAAAAGTGTATCTACAATATATTATAACACAATGTTGAACACAAGATCTTGCTAACATATTATGCTGGAATTTTATTGTTAGGATTAAAGGTGCTTTCAAAAGCTATCTGGTATAGACCTTAACTTCCAAAATAAAGTCACTAAATTTCAATTTCCAAAATGAATTCTACAGAACACATGTGCCACTGTTTTGTTTTGTTTTGTTTTGTTTTAACATGTTTTGTGTTTGGGGGGTTTATTCAGTATGAAGGATATTTTCCAGGGGCAATTAAGTTTAGGAAATTCTTGGTATATTAAACAGGCTGAAAACTGATCTTTTTCAAACAACAAATTCTTCTAAAATATCATTTATCCTATATAATGTGCCTGAATTTCTAGCCTCAGAAGGTTTACACAGGGATTAAATTCACATTTGGAAGAAAACAGCCTTTCTTGTCTGGAAAAACAACGTGGCAGGTGCAGGGTCAAGGACATCCCTGAGGGAGAGCCAAAGTCCCCTTCAGCAATTTTCTTCCAAACCACTGAAAGACATTGACAATCGCCACCACAGAAGGCTTTCTCCCATCCTTGTGTGTGAGCTTAATTTCTAACTTCAGTTCGGATAATTAAATATAAAAATCATATCAATCAATATTACATCTTTTTATTTAATACAATGTCATATACTACAGTATTACCACTAAACTGTAAAGTGGATCATGGCGATAATCTTAGAATATCCAAAGGGCTGTTTGTTGGACAGGTGATAAAATTAGAGAAAATCATTTGTCTTTTATTCCATAGGAGCATGTTATTTGCAGAGTTAAATATACATTGTCGCAAATATTCTTTCACTCACTTCCATACCTCATAAGCACGACTTTTGTACATAACAACACTTATCAGTTGATTATCAACAACTGCTTACATGAAACCACAGTGCAAAAATGTGGTTAGAAACTACCAAGACAAAAAATGAAAAGAAGAAGCACTTCCTATTTTTCAGCTTTATAAAAGGTGAAAGGGTGTGGTTAACAAAATAATGTATTTTAAAATAGCCAGAGTCGTGCTGAGACAACTAAGCTCATCAATGTTTGTTTGATAATACGTTGTAATGTCTTTTAAAATAAACATTATCTAAAATAAGATGTTTTATTACATGAAAAGTTGAACCTAGGGCATCACATGTGAGAATTAAAAGTTGCCATATAATTTCTGAAGGCCTCATCCTACCTAGAAGAGCAGAAAGCACTGATCAACTTGAAGAAAAAGTAGAGTCTGATTAATTAGAAGAGGTAAATTGAGAAAATAGAAAATTCAGAGGGAAATTTTGAGTAGATTTTTTAAAAGAAAAAAGGTCTCTAAAGAAAGAAAAGAGAAGAAAAAACAAATGGAAAAATGCACAGAGAACAGAAAACTATAATAAAGGGGTTAAAAATAGATTTATATCAAATATCTGTTCATTTAATTATTTTCCCTTCCGCCCCCAAAAAAAAACTATTTTGAAAGGAAAGTTAGCTGACAAATGAAAAACAGAAATTGTGACCACCCAAAAAATACAGAATTGAAACTTCAGTATCACCAAACTAGCTCTTATGCTTCCCAATAATATGCCATGCCCAACATTTCTGGAACACAGCCAGTACCTGATCTGCCATTTTATCTGTTATCTGATTTTATGACTCACCTCTTGTTCTTTCCACCACTGCATCATGGTATCCACAGTGGAGCACACTAGACACACTGGTTTCAGAATACTGGAAGTACAGCTTCAGGAACAGAACTCCACATCTATAGGCAGCATAGGAAGATGATGAGAATTTTGTATTCACCAGTGTAGTAATTAATTCAAGCAAGGATTATCAACAAATGCTAAAACCCTGGACTCAAAGTATCATTCCACAGATAGCTTATCAATTAAAAAGTAGAAAGTTTACCCTTACAATGAAGAAATCTGGCAGTAACTCTCTTAAAGTGACCAAACTCAGTATCACCGACAATGGAGCAACCTGTCATTCACCTGTGTACTCTTCCTGCCAAAAATACTTTAACCTAAATCTAATTATGAGAAAACAATTGAACAAATACAAAATTTGGGACACCTTTTATTATTAGTGACCTAGACTCTTCAGAAAAAAAAAATCATAGCATGAAAAGAAAAAAGAAAAAAAGCAGGAAACTATTCCTGTAAATGAGATGAAAGATCCCATACTCAAATGCTATACATAATCCTAGATTGGTTCCTATACAGAAAAAAAAAACACAGCTATAAATGACATTTGGTGATAGTTATGGAAATTTAGATATAGATGGTATATTAAATGGTGGTTTTGGATTATTATTATTAGTTTTCTTAGGCATCAAAAGATGTATTTTGTAGAAGAAAATACTTATTCATTTTTTTTAATTCAACATTTATTTTAGATTCAGGGAGTATGTGTGCAGGTTTCCTACATGGGTAAATTGTGTGATGCTGAGCTTTGGGGTACAATTGATTCCATCACCCAGGTAGTGAGCATAGTACCCAATAGGTAGTTTTTCAACCTTTCCTCCACCCTCCTCTAGTAGTCCCCAGTATCCATTGTTGCCATCTTTATGTCTATGTAGACCCAATGTTTAGCTCCCACTTATAAATGAGAATATGCAGTATTTGTTTTTCTGTTTCTGTGTTAATTTGTTTAGGATAATGGCCTCCAGCTGCATTCATATGGCTACGAAGGACATGATTTAGTTATTTATATGGCTGCATAGTATTTCATGGTGTGTGTATGTATGCATATGTGTGTGTCTGTGTGTGTGTGTGTATATATATATACACATATATATATAAACCATATATATGTGTATGTGTGTGTAAAAAAAATATATATATATATAATATTTTCTTTATCCAATCCACCATTGATGGGCACCTAGTTTGATTCTATGTCTTTTCTATTATAAATTTTGCTGTGATGAACATATAAGGACATGTGTATTTTTGGCAGGACAATTTATTTTCTTTTGGATATATGCTCAGTAATGGGATTGCTGTGTCAAATGGTAGTTTTTTTTAAGTTCTTTGAGAAATCTCCAAACTGCTTTCTACAGTGGCTGAACTAATTTACATTCCCACCAACAGTGTATAAGTGTTCTCTTTTCTCTGCAGCCTCACTGGCATCTGTTGTTTTTGCCTTTTTAGTAATAGCCATTCTGACTAGTGTAAGATGGTATCTCATTGTGGCTTTGGTTTACACTTCTGATTAGTGATGTGGAGCACTTTTTCATGTTTGTTAGCCAATTGTGTGTCTTCTTTTGGGAAGTGTCCATTCTGTCTTTTGACCTCTTTTTAATTGGGTTGTTTTTGGCTTACTGAGTTATTTAAATTTCTTATAGATACTAGATATTAGACCCTTGTCAAATGCATAGATTGCAAATATTTTCTCTCATTCTGTGAGTTGTCTGTTTACACTGTTCATAGTTTTTGTTTTTTGTTTGGCTGTACAGAAGCTCTTTGGTTTAATTAGGTCTCATTTGTCAAATTTTTTTGCTGTAATTGCTTTTGAGAACTTAATCATAAATACTTTCTTCTTAATCATAAATTCTTAAACATAAATTCTTTCCCAAGGTCAATGGCCAGATTGATGTTTCCTACGTTTTCTTCTAGGATTCTCATAGCTAGAGGTCTTACATTTAAAGCTTTAATCAACCTTGAGTTAATTTTTGTATATGGTGAAAAGTAGGTGTCCAGTTTTATTCCTATGCACATGGCTAGCTAGCTATCCCAGCACAATTTATTGAGTAGGAAGTCCTTTCCTCATTGCTTATTTTGAACAATTTTGTCCAAGATCAAATGGTTGTACGTGTGTGATTTTATCTATGGGTTCTCTAGAATGCTCTTAATCCCAAGAGATGCAGTTTAAATATACTAGGATGTGACAGAATTCCTGCAATTTACTTTTTTTTTTTTCCCATTTATTTATTTTGTTGCATTTTAGGTTTTGGGGTACATGTGAAGAACATGCAAAATTGTTGCATAGGAACACACGTGGCAGTGTGATTTGCTGCCTTCCTCCCCATCACCTACATCTGGCATTTCTCCCCTTGCTATCTCTCCCCAGCTTCCCACCCCCCACCGTCCCTCCCCTATTTCCCCCCAACTGACCCCAGTGTGTAGTGCTCCCCTCCCTGTGTCCATGTGTTCTCATTGTTTAACTGTGTGTGTTTGTGTGTATGTGTATATGTATGTGTGTTTGTAAGGACATAAATCAAATGTGGCAAAATAAACAGTTGGTGAAGTAGGTTAAAAGTATTTAGTGTTCATCATACTATACTATTCTAACATTTTTGTAAGTTTTTAAATGATCAAAGTGAAAAGTTGGGTGGCAGGGAACATTGAGAAATCGTTGGCCTTGTATTTAGAAAAAAAAAAAAAAGTACCTGGAGTTCAATTAATGTTGTTATCTTGGGCAAGCCACTCCCAACTTCTGAGCATGAATGGGACAATCTCACTGCTCAGACTGCTGTAAGGATAATAATCTAGGCCCAGGGATATTTGTAAACTAAAAAACACTCCAGGGTTCTCAGCCTGCAGTCCCAAGACAGAAGTCAGGTTCCGTGAACTTGGACGGGAATCTCACTACCCTCTAACTGCAATTTAACATTTCCTACGATTATATGCATTAGCATAAGTTAACATGTCATCTATTTGTTCACAGTAACAGCTCAATATTGTTAGCTCTGTTATCATTACAGTTAATTTTCTTAAGTTGCACAAGTGACAGTCATGAAAAGCATGAGTCAGTGACAAAGCTCTTACAATCTTACATCCTCTTTTTCCTTCCACATCTAAAAGGACACACCTACTCTGAGCCAATACTATGTAAAAGATACTATACCATTAACTCATGCTTTCCGTGGCCCTCAGTTGTGCAACTTAAAAACCAAATTGTAATAACAGAGCTAACTCAATGTGTTCAAAACTAAACTACTCCTGATCTTCCCCATATAGAAACCTGCTCATTCAAAGCTGCTCCTATGATGGCACTCCAACAATCCAGGTACTCAAGTCAAAAACTTTTAGAGTCATCCTTGACTCCTCTTTTTTCCTCTTTGTGTCCAATGCTTTAGGAAATTATGTTGTCTCTACCTTTAAAATATATTAAAAACCTAACCATTTCCCACCACAGACACTGCTACTGCTCTAGTCCAAGCCACTGCAATCTTTCACCCAAAGACTAATACAACAGCCTCCTAAGCAGGTCCCCTACTTCTTCTCTTGAGTCTATTCTCTCTGTAAATAATATCCTTTTAAAACATGTCCATCATCCATTCTCCTTTTTAAAACTTTGCAATTGTTCCCATTTTCTTAGAGTAGAAACCAAAGTCCCTCCAATGATTACAAAAACCCATACGATCATACTTCCCTTTACCTCTGTAACCTCAACTCCTACCTCTCTCTCTCTGCCCCCACCCTGTCCCAGCCACACTGGCCTCCTTGATATCCCTAGAATATGCCAGGCATGCTCCTACCTTAGGATTTTTGCCCTGGATGTTCTCACTGCTTTGGAACTCAGGTATTTATATGGCTAATTCCATCATCTCCATGTCTCTGGTCAAAGAGTAAGAAGGACTACTCTGACAATTCTATTTAAAATAGCAACTCACCTTTGGGTGCCTAATCCCCCTTACCTTTCCTCTAGCATTTATGGCCTCCTAATGTATAAATAATATAATATATAGTGTCTATTGCCCTCTGCTAGATTATGAGCTCCATACAGGGCAAAAGTCTTGTTTTGTTTACTCATATTTTTAATTATTTATTCATTTATCTATTTTGTTATTTTTTTACAATTTTTATGATGCTTAAATATACATAATATAAGATACACTATCTTAACCATTTTTAATGTGTAGTTCAGTGGTATTAAGAACAGTTATGGCTGGGCGTGGTGGCTCATGCCGGTAATTCAGGCACTTTGGGAGGCAGAGGTGGGAAGATCACTTGAGGTCAGGAGTTTGAAACCAGCCTGCCAGCACAGTGAAACCCTGCCTGTATTAAAAATACAAAAAAAAAAAAAAAAAAAATAGCCGGGCATGGTGGCAGGCGCCTGTAATCACAGCTGTTCAGGAGACTGAGGTATGAGAATCACTTGAAACCAGGAGGCAGAGGTTGCAGTGAGCCAAGATCATGTGACTGTACTCCAGCGTAGGTGACAGAGCAAGACTCCATCACAAAAAAAAAAAAAAAAAAAAAAGAACAGTTATATTGTTGTGCAACCACCATCACCATCCATCTCCAGAACTCTTTATCTTATAAAACTGAAACTCTACAGTCATTAACAAATAACTCCCCATTCCCATTCACTCATATTTAATTATTATAAGACCTAGAAGTGTTTACCACATAGGTACTTAACAAATTTTTGATGACTAAATGAATAAATGTGTTTTGTAAAACTTCAAATATCATCTCCTTAGGGAAGATTTCCAAATTTATAATTTAAGTACATAGGTTTTATTCTAACTCCTCTCAGTTTTATATAAATAGTTCCCTTCTCTATACTGTTTGAAGCATTAGCCATGCCTCTTACACATGTATAATCTCCAGTATCATTAACATATAATCATAGACATAGCAAATATTTACTACTAGACATTGAGGACCACTAGAGAGGATAGGGAGAGAGAAAGGGGGACAAATGCTGAAAAACTAACTATTGGGTACTATGGTCAGTACCTAGTTGATGGGATCAATCATACCTCAAACTCAGCATGATGCATCATGTTACCCATGTAACAAACCTGCATATGTATACCCTGAATTTAAAATAAAAGTTGCAATTATTTTTTAAAAGTCCAATAAGTAAACAAATGACTAAATCCCAGAGCCATGAGCATTGGGTCTCCCCTACCTCCAAAACCAACCCCTCATCTTTTAGCTCCTCCTCTATAGTCTGAAGTTGACCAATATGTGTTAAAGCCAAAATGCTCTGAATAGGAAGGATATAGGTGGCATTTTAGAAAATACATAGAGCTATGTTTTCAATATCATAAAAACCAAGGTTTTTTTGTTTTAATTTATGATTTATGCATACTAATTATACATATTATGTACAGCATAATATTTTGATTGCATATGTATACATTGTGTAATAACCAAATCAGGGTAATTAACATGGCCATCACTTTTAACATTTATCATTTCTTTGTAATAAGAACATTCAAAAACCTCTCCTTTAGCTATTTGACTGTCATCTCCAGTCTAGTATGCAAAAGAACATGAGAAAGTATTCCTCCTATCTAACTGTAAATTTGTACACATTGACCACTGCTCTCTTCATCTCCCTCTCCTTCCTATACTCCCCATCCTCCGGTAACCACTAGTCTATTTCAGTGAGAACAACTTTTTAGATTTCAAAAATAAATGAGAGTATGTGGTGTTTGTCTTTCTGTGCCTGGCTTATTTCACTTAACATATTGCCCTCCAGGTTGCTGTAAATAACAGTATTTCATTCTTTAAAAAATATGAAACACTTCACGAATTTGCATGTCATCCATACTAATCTTCTCTGTACTATTCCAATTTTAGTATATGTGCTGCTGAAGTGAGCATGATAAAAACCAAGGTTTAACATGAAATATTAATGGCTTTATTTTAAGCACCTTGAGGGCCAGGGAAAGAGAAAAGACGGGAAGGAGAATCTAATTGCTATACTCATATTGGAAACTTGGGATAAAACAACAGGTTTCCAAGGGTTCTAGCTGCTCAAGAACCTGCTAGTGCTTTTTTTTTTTTCCCCCCAGGAGAGGAAGGCATTTTATTACAGTACAGGGATATCAGCTTTGGGTAGCAGCAGAAGGCAGCTTCACAGAACTCTTCATGAAGGGTAGTGGCCAAATCTTTCGTCCAGCCCAGCACCCCTTGTGGTGCCATGGCCCACTGGAAGGCCTCTTGCTCAGCCAGTAGTTGTGACCTGCCCTGCCAGTGACCCGTTTGTTATGATCAGTGTTGGATACTCAGCCTACTGTTGCTATGCACGTTTCCAGCACCTGTATCTGCCTCTTAGAGGGCAGCTGGATAATGGCTGTGCCATTCACCTTCCGCAGTAGCACACCACATGTCCCTGCAGCTCAGATGTACTGGGCACCCAGGCCTGGCTCACTTTCCATGTTGTTGATGAGGGTCCCCACAGGCAGAGCCCCAAGTGGATGTGCATCCCCTTCCTGAGCAGCAATTGTGATTCAGCTTATGTGGTTAGAGTTCAGGATCGTATCTCCAACCTGCATGTTTCCTGTAGCGATAATCCAGTGTTTCTGGCTGCCTCCAGCAACCAGAGCTATGTCTGCTGACCTACAGGGATAGTAGCAGACTTGGATAACCTTTCCCTCAAAGGGTCCTGACTCGGTCTTCTCCTCAAGCCAGAAACACAAAAGTCAATCATGTGATAATGTTGCTTGTGGCTCCTGCCGATATCATCCACGAGATTTGGCCTGTGTGGTCTCCACCCCCAGACTTCCTCATCTTCACTGGTTTAACAGTGTATTTGCTATGACTCTTTCAAGACACAAAGTTGGTACTAAGGCCCATAGAAGTAAGGATTTGGTGGCAGGGGAGCAACATCAAGGCAGAGGGCCATTGGAGGAAGGCATTGTTCATCACCTGGGAGGCAGGGAACAGACTCAAGACAGGAGTGGTAATGGCGGTAGGGGCCAGGTTCAGAGAGCACAGAGCACGGGTCAGTGCCCACAGGGCCATCAGGGCAGCCAGGGCTCAGCACACCCCTGCTAGTGCTCTTAAGAGAAATATTGAGATGGAAAATGTAAGAAACCACAATGGATATACTTCCAGCAAAACGAAAAAAGAAGATGACCTTTTCTTCAGATCCCACCTGAAGTAGGAGAGGGTCAAGATGTCTAGAATTCTACTGATACCTATTATTAGTAGGGAAGAAGAAAACGTTTTAGGTGACATATGGTTGTGTCACTCAAATTCACTTCTACCCTTCCTTTAGGAAATGTTCCAGATTCTTTGGCAGAATGCCTGTAAGCTAAGAGGCAGGCTAACAGAGGGATCCTAAAACAGAGCTGTGAGCAGTGGTGAGGAGGAAACCCCTCCACACCTCTCTGAAAACAGAAATGGTAGCAGCTGCAGTGACAGGAGGGTGGATAGACTGAAGCCAACTGAGCAGGGGGAGGAGAGTAGAGAGTGACAGTGCAGCAAGAGCAGATCTTTGACAGCCAAGTAGAGAGGGCATGAGCATGGGGACATGGGAGGGCTGAGAGGTCCAGGGGCTTAAATAGTCCCGTTTTTAAGTTTAACCCTGGAAGCTCTTATTTATCCTCCCTTGCCCTACAGGGCTATTATTCCCAAGAAAGGGGAGGCACAATTAGAGGCACAAACTCAATTGAATTGTCTCTTCTTTGAATCAGAGTTTCAGCCACAAAACAGATCATAGAAGGTCTGTATATCCTCTCTCATAGATATTCTGTATTCCAAAATTTCACACTGGTTAAATTTTTCATCAAACTGCAGGTTAAACCTCTCGATAAGCTTAGATCTGAAAAGCTGAAACTAATTTCTAGTGGCTGTTGAACAAAAGTAAAACTGTCTACTTCACATCCCAGAGCCCTTTTCCTTTCCCAGTGCCTCTATTTTTAAACATGCCTGTTGTTATACCTAGATGAAAAGCTATAGGATCTGGGAGGGTAAAGAAGGAGGAAATTGTGTAGTCATATATATATTTTTAAAAAAGAAAAATCTATGTACTCTCATAGGCTCCTATAACTGGCTACAACTCAAGCTGCACAGATAGTTACGGAACCTGAACTTGATATAGCTCAGAAAATGCCTCCATCATCTCCTTTCATCTGCTTCAAACTTTCTGAAAGATTGACATATCTCCTTAACCAGTATTTGGTATCGTATCTTCTACTTACTTATCAATATCTCTAAATCTCTAAAGGATACTTTTTTCCAGTGTTCTTCCTCAGCTCTGAGGAGAACAACTCAGACCCCAAGGAAAACACTAGCCAGACCCACAGCGCCCTGCCAGAGGAGGAAATCTACAGAGAGTTGCGCAAAGCAGGGAGGCACCCTTATCATGTGTTGCAGAATTAAAAAGTTTGAAATTCAGTTTTACTCAATAATTGAATCCTATACTATACTCCCTCCAGAGACTTCAACTCTGATGAATTCTTCTTAAATTCCTAAAGCCTGAAAGAAAGTTTTGGGAGAGAGGAGATCAAACATTAGGGATGTTATTAAGGTTTGGGTAGAATGACAATAGAAACAAGAGGTGAAGGGCTCAAACTGAGAATTTGAAAAAGAGCTTTCAAAAAGTACATCTGTTAGCCATTTGTTAGAATTTGCATTAGCATACCATATAAATGATTATAAACAATAATAGGGGTCACTATGAGTTGTCTTCCTAAGAGCCACTCCTGATTCTTTTTGTTTAAAGAGTCCTGATTTTGTGGGTAGCCTTAGGGCATGAATTATAATCAAAGCCAGAGGACAGCAAAGTTTTTCTGTAAAGAACTAGGTAGTAAATATGCCTCTGTCACAAATAATCAACTTTGCTATTGCAGCAAAAAAAAATATCCATAGAGAATATAAACATGAATGGGTATGGCTGTGTTCCAATAAAACTTTATTTATAGAAACAGGCCCAAGGCTCACTTTGTTTCACAGACCATAGTTTGTCAACCCCTCAACTAAGGTAGTCATAGAACCTCCATTTCCTTTTCCAAGTGATTGACCTAAGCAGAGGAAAGTGACCTAGTTTATCTTAGTAAGAAGCAAGACAAGTCTGCCAGGAGGTTTCTGACAAAGATTTTCTTTTATGATAAAAGAGAGGGGATGTAAGGAGAAGGTATTTTGACACTTTTCCTCCCTTTCTGCTTTGCACACTTGTGTAAGGAACCAATGCTTGAAGCTGTGGAAACATCTTGTCCTCCTGAGGCTTTAAGGTGGAAAACAAAAGCCAACAAGCTGAGAGTGGTAGAATAGAAGAATGAAAAGATCCAAGGTCCTCATTAAGTCACTGAACTGATACCTACCTCCAGACTTTCATTAAGAAAACAAAAACTGTACTGATGATTAAGTCATTGTTGGTCTGGTTTTCTGTTACTTGCAGCTGAAAGCATTGCTAATTGATACATACAAAGAAGTTCAAAATGTGAATGAGTGATGTATTTTTAACATTACCTTTAAAGTTTTTCAAAAAGCTTAAAGTATTTTTCTACTATAGGAATGAGGCATGAGCTCCTATAAAAGAAAAACAAGAATTTTTTTTTTAAGTATAGATTTTCTGCAGTAGAAGCTACAGGAGGTCTGGAGATTATACAAGGGCTGTCTATAACCATAATGGATAAGCTACCATGCTTATAAAAAAGGTCATTTTTGCATATGAGATAACTTTAGGTCATATACGTGTAAGTCAGAGACAATGTATTGATTGCCTGGACCAGGAGTTGGCAAACTACAGCTCACTTTTATTTGTAAATAAAATTGTTTTAAAACATAGCCACACCCATTTATTTAAATATTGTCTATGGCTATTTTGAGCTACAAAAACAGAGCTGAAAAGTTGCAACAGAAAATTGTAAATGTCAGAAAGATGGTATAAAGTGTATAATATACGTTCAAAAAGTGCTAAGACATGTGAAAGTATGTCAAGCACCATCAGATGATACAGTATGAAAAGGATGCAAGACTTCTCTGTCATATGTTCAGGGAAGGCCACACTATGGAGGCAACATTTGAACTGAGACACGAATAAAGAGAGTGAGTAAATCATGGGAGCATCTTGGGGAACAGCTTTATAGGCAGAGCGAACAAGTGGAAAAGCTTGATATGGTAAAGAATCGTAGAAAGGTCAGCACGGCTAAAGCAAAGTGTGGGGAAGGATGGTAGTAGATAAGATAGATAGTAGTGGGCCAGCTCATGTGTGGTCTTATTGGCCATATAAAATACCTGGAATTTTGCTTGGAATAAGGTGGCACTCCACTTGGATGGTGAATTTGGAGCCAAAGACTGACACAATGTGTTTTTCATTACAAAACATCACTCTAAGCCTTCAATTCTATGATTGAAAAAGTGGCTACTGGCTTTACGCTTCAGCCATACAAAACCATAAAACTGGACAAAATATGAAGCAAAGGTTTCCAGGCATTGTACAACCAGGCCTGCATGGCTATAATCCTTGAATGCAGGAAAACACAAAGTAAACCCTCCATTCTCCCCAGCTTTCTGTCTGAGGGCACTTTCTCAACCCAGCACATGACAGTGGGGCCCAAACATCAAACAGTTTTTTGCTAGATGGAAGAAAAAGATTGAATTTGAAGGCTCCTTAGGCAATTGAAACTTGTAATGCTTCGCTGTGAATTCCATCAAACATTGGGAGAAACACACACACACACACACACACACACACACACTGATGTTACACAGGCTCTTCCAGAAAATAAAGGAGGAAAGAATAATTGGCAGACCATTTTATGAAGCCAGAATAACTGTGATTTCAAAGTCAGACAAGAGCTTTACAAGAAAATAAAAGTATAGGTAATAGCCTTCATGAATGAAGATAAATATGATTCTATAGAAATGTTAACAAACCAAATCCTGCAATATGTAATTAAGTATAAGTCTAGCAACATAAGCTGCCATCATACTTAATGATAAAAGGCTGAAAATGTTTGCCCCAAAATTGAGAGCAAAGCAAAGATGTTTTTTCTTGCTGCTTCTATTCAGCAAGATACTATACATTCTAGCCGCTGTAATAAGTCAAGAAAAGAAAAAAAAAAGCATACATTTTGGAAAGGAAGAAATAAACCTGTCTTTATTTGCCACAACATTATTGCGTATGTGGACAATCCTAAGGAATCTGAAAAATAAATGAATAAAACTACTAGAGCCAGAAGCAAATTAAGCAGGGTCAGATGATATGTCAATGTTCAAAAAACTAATTACATTTCTATATACTAGTAACAAACATTAAAAATAAGAATATTGAAATATACCATTTACAATAGTAACAAAAATATATAAAATAGGGAGAAACTTAATAGTATCTAAGACCTCCCCATGAAAAACTAAAACTCATTGTTGAGAGAAATTAAAGAACACCTAAATAAGTAAAGAAATAAGCTATGTTCATAAATCAGACAACTCAATATTGTTAAAATGGCAATTCTCCCCAAATTTAATCAATAGACTAAATGTAATCTGAATCAAAATTCCAGGGAGTTTTTTTTTTTTTAATAAAAATTGACAAGCTGCCAGATGCTATAGCTCACGCCTGTAATCCCAACACTTTTGGAGGCTGAGGTGGGTGAATCACTTGAGTCCAGAAGTTCAAGACCAGCCTGGGCAACATTGTTAAACCCCATCTCTACAAAAAAATACAAAAATTAGCCAGGCATGGTAGTATGCACCTGTAGTCCCAGCTCCTAGGGAGGCTGAGGTTGGAGGATCTCTTGAACCTGGGAAGGTGAGGCTACAGGGAGCCATGACTGTATCACTTTACTCCAGCCTGGGTTGCAGAGCAAGACCTTGTCTCAGAAAAAGAAAAAAAAAATGACAAGCTGATTCAAAAACGTATACAGAAATGTAAACAACCTAGACTAGCCAAAATGATCTTGAAAAATGAGAAAAAAAATGAGGAAGTTACATTAATTGATTTCCAGACTTACTATGAAGCAACAGTGGTCAAAAGAGTATAGTATCAGTATAGGGATACACAAATATACCAAGGAACAGAATAGAGGGTCAAAGCCACAGTTACCTGGTCAACTGATCTTTGACCAAGGCATCAAAAACAATTCAGTGAAGAAGCAAATTCTTTTTTAAAAATGTTGATGGAACAATTGTATATCTCTATGGAAATAAAATCGTAAACCTATCTAATATTATACGCAAAACTGTATTCAAGATGGATCAAATATCCATATGTAAACTAATGCTATAAAGTTTCTGGAAGAAAATATAGCATAATATTTTTATGACATGGGATAGTCAAAGATTTTGTAGCACAACACAGACAATATAACCATGAAATAAAAAATTGATAAATTGGTTGGTCTTCAACAAAACCAAAAATTTGTGCTTGTCAAAGTACACCAACCAAAATAAGCAAGCTATAGACCAGGAGAAAATATTTGCAAAATATATCTAAGAAAGTACTTATAATTTAGCTGATGTGAGAAACTTCTACAACTCAATAATAAAAAGACACCACACATCCTTGTTTTTTAAATAAGAAAGAGATTTGAAAAGAGACTTTATTAAGGATAAATATGAATGGTCAATAAGCATATAAAAAAGGATTCAACATCATTAAGAAATGAAACTTAAATCAAAATTAGATTGTACTACCTACCTATTAGAATGGCTAAAGTTAAAAAGACTGACAATATCCAATGTTGCAAAGGATATGAAGTGGTCTATACTACCATAAATCAACAATGGAAGAGTAAAATGGTACAATCACTTTTTAAAATGGCTTGACAGTTTGTTATGAAGTTAAACATATACCTACACAATAACCTAGAATTTCTAATTCTTGATATTTATTCAGGAAAAATAAAGGGATATATTAACAAAAACACTTTTATACAAACATTTATAGCAACTTTATAATAGCCAAAGACTGAGAACAGCCTAGGTACTCATTAGTAAAAGAATGATAAACAAAGTATTGTGTAGTCGTACAATGGATTAGTACAAAGAAACACAACCAATATACACAATCATATGAATGAATCTGAAAAACATTATATTGAGTTAAACCAGACACAAAATAATACATAATTAGTGACTCTAGAAAAATCAAAACTAATCTAATAGAAATCGGAACAGTCATTGTCTCTTGTGGGTGGAGTGGAAACTAACTAAAAAGGGCCACGAGATAACTTTCTGGAATGACAGAAATGTTTATATCTGCCTCTGTTCAAACTCACAGAATGGTATATTAAATATATGTGTATATCACTACAAATTATAGTAGAATTTTAAAAACGAGAAAAGATAGATGCAGGAAACAAGTGACAATTGTGGTAGTTTCCAAAGATTATGGTGGCTTAATCTGGAAAGCTCTGACGGTAGATGTGATCAAGTTGGGGTATGTTTTTAAATTTGGAATTACAGAACATCTGAACTGTTTGGTGGTGGTGTTATGAAAGAAAGAGAAGAAACAGTTGTACCATTATAAGTGAAAGCTTACACACCCCTTGAAAAGAAAGGAGGTAACAGAAAATGTAAAACAAGCAGATAATTATATCACATTTCATTATTTATATGTCAATTTTTGTATGTAATCAATCTTATATCAAAACGATAATGAAGGAGACTTCCACTTTCAGTGAAAATGGAGTAACACAGACCAAATTTTCCCTCCAACCTGAAACCACTCAAAAACCAGACAAAATACATGAGAATGGTTTGCAAGACATCAAACACTAGTCAATGAAAGGCATATTTCTGAGAGACAGGAAACAAATTAGTTGAGCCTTGTTATTGCCCCAGCTTACTGGCTAAAAAGTTAGGTCATGACCCAGTGGAAGAGAAACAAGTAGAGATTTGTGGTCTTCTTGAATTAAGGTAATATAAGCAACAAATGAAAGAATAAAATAAAACATAAAATAAAAACAAACCAAAAAATAAAAAGGAAAAATAGAAGTGGAAAACAGATGAAGAAAATCTAAAACAAATAGTTACACGGCAGATTTAAACCCAGCCACATCAATTATCACATTAAATGTAAATGTCCTAAACATCCTAGGTTAGCAGTCAATATGGTCAGTTTGAGTAAAACAGCAGAACCCAACCACTTGTTGCTTACAGAAACCCACTTTATATATAAACGACATAAATAGGTTAATAGTAAAACTACAGGA